AATAGCTTGTAAATAAAGCTAGGGATCCCTAACCTAACCTTGTCAAACCATATGTAATGAGAGAGAGAGAGAGAGAGAGAGAGAGAGAGGAGAGAGAGAGAGAGAGAGAAATTGGGAGGATGAGGATGGGATGGATGGATGGGGGGGAAGAACCGGCGAAACTGGATTTGATTACATTTGTAATAAGTATCAGATCTAGGAGAGAGGAGAACATAAGCGCACTCTGGGACAAGTATTCAAGGTGTCTTGAGTTTTAACTTTGTCTTGGTAATGAACCTGGAAAGAAAATTAGAAAGGCAGAGAGAAAAACAGAATACAAAAGAAGGGGGCTATGTGCAGATGATAGACTTCCTTGATGCAGTCTAATGGAAGAAGAATTGGAAGGAAAGTAAGAAGAAATTATATAGTTCATACAATGAAAGAACCTGGAGATAATTGAGAAAATTCTACCCAATGGAGAACAAGTTGAGGGAAAAACTAAAGCACCCAGGGTTCCACCACAGATGTAAAAAAGTAAAAATAGGGAACACCAGAGCAAGGACAAAAATACAGAAGATGGAAAAAATATAGGAATTATTAACATTACAGCCAGAAATGAAAACTTGCCTATGAGAATAATGATGCCTGAGAAACATCTTCAGTACCATAATTACTGGATCTCTTCATTAAATGGAAGATGATAATAAAGGATCAAAGTGATTAAATAAAAGAAGAGGAGAACTCATGATTAATAAATGGATGGACATTGAAGAACTAAACAAACATTTAAGAGCCATGCCAGAGAGATGAAAATGGACAATCTACGGAGACTGGATGACGTGGACACAAGGGATAAACTAAAGTAGTTTCTGTGGTGTCTTTCTGGGGCTTGAGAGAGGGAGCATAATGACTCTTAAAAAAGAATACAAAATTATTAAGAAACGTGATCTTAAGGAAAGCCGCAAAACTAAAGATATTTAGGTGAATGGTGGAGCACTTGGAGATTCATGGAGTCTAAAACGAGTCAGCAAGGGTATATAGGAAAAATGAATCCTGTCTGCGAACCCTACAAGTGTTCTAAGACAGAAAAACAATTATTGAGAAAGAGATGGGTGAACTAAATTATTCTAGACATAAGGAAGGTATTCGACCTTGATCCCTAGAAGAGACTAATCAACAAATGGTGTCAGAAATAACGCATAACTTACTTCACTGAATCAAGGAATATCTGTATGAAAGGAGACAGTGTTAGCACTAGAAGAGGCATCCGGAATGGTGCTATTTGAGAAATGGTTCCCAGTGTAACGTACAATGGAAATATATGTTTTTACTATATACAATATACTTAAAATATATTTGAGACGGAAAAGTACTGTATGTACATATCTTTGTTTGCAAATATTTAAAAAAAAACTAGATGTTCATCAGTCCCTGTGTGATCCGAGAAAGGTATTTATGTATTGCATAACCCTAGTCCCCAATACTTCAGTGCACGAGACTGGAATAGTTCAGAGTGCGGCACGAGTTTGTGGTACGGATTTCAACAACCCCAAATTATTATTAACTATTATATTCAATCGACATTTTTTTCTTTGCACGAAAAGAAAACGATCCTGTCCCTAAGATGCAGTAGGCATTGAATATTAAAGCAATTCAGAAGAAGTAAACTGATATTTATTAATCTGATTTAACGAGATTAAAAATATCCAACTATTTTACAAAAATAATCGTCAGGTTTGTACCGACACTCTTAAGTGTCATTCTCCGCAGTCATTGAATTAGGAATGTTTTGGAAGTTAACCGAATCATTCCAGGGCGCCTCACCACCAATTGTTCCATAAATATGACCCTAGTGACTTTACACAAAGAAAATTTGAAGCCGATTGGATGATGTCTTCTCGAGTTATGAACCTCTTAAAGATCCTCCCTTCGGGGATACCTTATTAGTCGATCAAAACTTTGTAAACAACCCCCTAGACCTAATTTATTACAAGCAACGCCAGAATGAATCTCACATTAGGAAACATATCTAGAGATACACAGGACGAAGGGAATTGCTGCAGAGCTATACGTAAAATAAGCAAATATTACAGTACCGTAGGAAGATAACTGGGGGTATACATGATCACTCTGAAACAGTACACGTGATACTCAGTAGGGAAGACAGAGACAGACTGGTTGAAAAGAAGAGATTCTTGGCAAGAGACTGTAAATGGAAATTACACATGTAAATGCAACACAAAGACATCAGAAGAAAATTCTACAATCTGATGGCGGTGAGAAAAACGAACGATCTGGACGAGGAAGTGGTGGAAGCAAATTCTAAATACATTTAATGTTACGTATGTTAAATCTTACGAGACCAGGAATAATATATGACCGTCCATGAATAATCGAGAGGCTTGGCGAAGAACTGACGACATACACACCACATACATACAACACATAACACACATTTGCACCACAACACAACACATACACACACACACAACACACACACACACACACACACACACACACACACACACACACACACACACACACAGAAAGAGTACAGAGACAAGATGTTCCAGGAGTCACAATTGGAAGTTGAAGACTAAGATAAGTCACAGGGATGTTAGGAAGTATTTCTTCACCAATAGGGTTGTCAAGAAAGCGAAGTAGTGGAAGCAGGTGACATACATAGCTTTAAAAAGAGGTATGATAAAGCTTAGGGAGCAGGGAGAGAGTGGATCTAGTGGCGACCAGTGAAGGGGCTGGGCCAGGAACTATGAATTGACCCCTGCAACCACAATTAGGTGAGTACACACAAATAAATACACACAAACACAGACATACACAGAAATATACAGAAACAAATACACACACACAGAAATACACAGAAACAAATACACACACACACACACACACACACACACACCTCAGTAAGGAATCGTTCAAGACTGCACAGTGTACGTCAGGCCCATACTGGAGTACGCAACATTAGTTTGGAACCCACACCTGGTCAAGCGCGTCAAGAAATTAGAGAAAGTGCAAATGTTTGCAACAAGGCTGGTTTCAGAGCTAAGGGGAATGTCCTACGAAGAAAGGTTAAGGGAAATCGGCCTGACGACACTCGAGGACAGGAGGGTTAGGGGAGACATGATAACGACATACAAAATATTGCGTGGAATAAATAAGGCGGACAGAGACAGGATGTTCCAGAGAGGGGACACAGAAACAAGGGATCACAATTGTATGTTGAGGACTCGGATGAGTCAAAGGGATGTTAGGAAGTATTTCTTCAGCCACAAAGTTATTAGGAAGTAGAATAGCCTGACAAGCGATATAGTGGAGGCAGGAACCATACATAGTTTTAAGACGAGGTATGATAAAGCTCATGGAGCAGGGAGAGGGAGGACCTAGTAGCGGTCATTGAAGAGGCGGGGCCAGGAGCCGAGTCTCGACCCCTGAAACCACAATTAGGTGAGTACATACTAACACACACACACACACACACACACGTGGTATGGCCTGAACAAAAAGAAGGGTTATAACAATTATCATAATTTTTTGAAGAGGTGGACCGGTAAGCCAGTGGAAGGCCTCGGTCAGATGACCAAAAGCTCCAGCGGCGGGTTATCATCTGACTAAGACCCGCATCAGGAAACATTTGTCCTGTTTCCTGACCAACCTTACCTAACCTCAGACCGCGAGACTAGTAGCCTCAACAAGAGGTCTGGTCTGAGACCAGGGCATCGATCCTCAGTAACATCACCTGATATATAAGACGTAGCAGGAAAGATTATAGGACACATCCGATGGTAAACACAGGAGAAATGTAGGGTCGAAGGAAAGGGTAAGTCTGCGTAGACAGGAAGGATATATAGAAGATGGGGAGGAGGAAGGAAGGAAAATTAGAAGACTGGTTAACACCTGGAGAGGTAAGCACACTAAGCTGCTTCATCTCCGGCAGTGAGAGTTAAAACTCTTTTATCACTGACTTGTGGGGGATCTGTACCCAACACACACACACACACACACACACGCATATGCAACAGGCCTAGTGTCTAATCGACATGTGCCTAGGACAAAATGGTAACACACACATACGCACACACACGCGCACACACGCGCACACACACGCACACACACACGCACGCACACACATACACACACACATACATTAATAGTGAAATCGTGGCCCAGTGGCAAACGCGACGGTCTGGAGTTTTGTGACCCTCTGATTGCGGGTTCTAAACCCACCCGTGGTGTGGTTTGTTTCACACACAAATACACAGTAACAAATGCACGCAAATGAACACACACACAGAAATACATAGAAACAAATACACATACACACACACACACACACACACACAAGAACACACAAACAAACACAAACAAGCACACACACAAACACATCCAAAACATCATTATTTCATATATCATTATCATAAAACACGCAGAATCAAGTAAAACTCACTAACACGTGCATGATCGGTAATAAAGACGATAATTAGTAGATTATTGGAGTTTAATGCAAACAAACTAGCACTGATTTAGAGACTATATATTCTCTCTCGAAAACCGGCTAGTATTCTATTAAAGAGCAATTCCAATGAAGCTGGAAAGAGAGGGATAGGTTCACAATATTTTTTCAACTGTAATAAGATACTGGACGCTGATCCTCAAAAGAAACCGATCAAAAAATCTAGTGAAGCAGACAGTTTTGTCCACTTAGACAATACGACAAAACGTATAGTATTATCAGCGTTACTTAACCCATACAATTCAGCAGAAAACATCTGATATTGTAAGGGTTACTACACGTCCCAGAGCAGCTGGTATGATCACAGTCACTCAACATATAAGAGAGTAGCTGAGATTATCAGTAATTCCTCTCTCACAGTTCAACAGACGTAAATGACTATGTGAGTTTTACTCGAACCACACAAAGAAAATACTGTTGCTGTTATTATGAGATATACCCGCAGCAGACAGTAAAGCAGGAGGTAGCTTGTATTATCAAAGTTACTTACCCAACACAGTACAAGAGTGAGAAGCAAAATCTTCATCTTCACTGCAGCTGGACTTCTGGCTTGTTGTGAGGACGTGTGCAGCAGTGAGCCGGTCACTAGTTGAGTGAGGCAGCGCCAAGTCTTCTCCGAGGTTACTTTTGGCCACTGAAAGCTTTCCTAGAATAATGTTTCTGCCTCATCGGGATTTTACCAACATTTAAGCAATAATATTTTGTATTCATTTTTCTTTCGAGGAAATTGTGAGGGAGGATGGAGGCTGTGATGGAGGAAATGGTAAAGAATATTTATTACATAAATAATGTACAATATAGACAAGTTAATGAATACGCTGTAGAATCCTTTCAGTTTACCACAGAAACTAATATTAGACTGTAAAGTAGAAGTGGAGAGGCAGTTTTAAGGTGTTCACTCCCATTAAGGTGTTCACTCCCATTAAGATGTTCACTCCCATTAAGGTGTTCACTCCCATTATGATGTTCACTCCCAGTAAGGTGTTCACTTCCATTATGATGTTCACTCCCAGTAAGGTGTTCACTTCCATTATGATGTTCACTCCCAGTAAGGTGCTCACTTCCATTATGATGTTCACTCCCAGTAAGGTGTTCACTTCCATTATGATGTTCACTCCTTAAGGTGTCACTCCATTAGATGTTCACTCCAGTAAGGGCTCACTCCATTATGATGTTCATCCATAAGGTGCTCACTCCCATTATGATGTTCACTCCCAGTAAGGTGTTCACTTCTCATTATGATGTTCACTCCATAGGTGTTTCACTTCCTTATGATGTCACTCCAGTAAGGTTGTTCACTTCCATTATGATGTTCACTCCCATTAAGGTGTTCACTTCCATTTGATGTTCATCTCCCATTAAGGTGCCACTTCATTATACGTTCACTCCCATAGGAGTTCACTTCTTATGATTTCATCTCCAGTAAGGGTTCACTTCCATTATGAGTTCACTCCCAGTAAGGTGTTCACTTCCATTATGATGTTCACTCCCATTAAGGTGTTCACTTCCATTATGATGTTCACTCCCATTAGGTGTTCACTTCCATGATGTTCACTCCTTAAGGTGTTCACTCCATTATGATGTTTACGTCCCATTAGGTGCTCAACTCCCATTCGGTGTTCGCTCCCATTCTTTAATGTTTCCAATGTAATAGTGGTATCATGTTTACATTTACAACACCACCTGTCACAAAGGTGACTTGCTAAAAATATTATATTTGTTCTTTTATTTTTCTTTGAACAACTTTCATGCCCGAAAGTGTAGGTGTGTGTACTTACCTATTTGTGGTTGCAAGGGTCGAGTCATAGCTCTGGGCCGATCTTTGCTGGTCGCTATAGGTCACTCTTTCCGTACCCCATAGCTTATCGTATCCTTCTTAAAACTATGTAAGGATCCTGCTTCAACTACTTAACTCTCCAGATTATTCCACTTCCTGACAACTCTATGGCTGAAGAAAAACTTTTTAACATCCCTGTGATTCATTTGAGTCTTCAACTTCAGTTGTGACTCCGCTTGCTGTGTCCATCTCTGAAATATTCTGGTCCCTACTCCACCTTGTCAATTCCTCTCAGTATTTTGTACGTCTTGATCTGTCCTCATTATCACTCCGACTTAGTGTCTTCGGGTCGATTCCTTAACATCTCGTAAGACTACCCATTACTCGGAATAGTTCTTGTGCAGACCTTTGAACAAGACGTGCTGACCAGGTGTGCGTTCCTACTGGTGTTTCATGCTCCAATATGATCCGACGTTTCAACTGGTATAGAGTCTTCAATGAATTTCCTTACCAGGTTTTCCCAAACGTTATTCTTATGTTTGCCAGACGCTCATGTGCTGCAACAGTTATCTGGTTGATGTGTGCCTCAGGAGATGTGCTCGGTATTATACTCACCTCAGGATGCTTTCCCTTGAGTGAGGTTTGTAGTCTTTGGTCCCCTAGCCTGTAATCGGTCTGCTGTCTTCTTTGATCTTCCTCAATCTTCATGACTTAGCACTTGGGGCGGTTAAACACCAGGAGCCACTTGTTGGACCAGGCTTGCAGCCTTTATAGTTCTACCTCATCCTCATTCACTTGAATTCTCCACATTAGCTTCACGTCGTCTACAAACAGGGACACCTCTGAATCTATCCTTTCCGTCATGTCATTCACATATACAAGAAACAGCACCTGCCCAGGACTGCCCCTTGTGGAACCCCGTTCGTCACAGGCGCCCACTCTGACACCTCGTCATGCACTATCACTCGTGTTTTCCTTCCCGTCAGATATTCTCTGATCCATTGCAATGCCTTTTCTGTTTTTCCTGGTTGCTCCTCTAGCTTTGGTACTAATCTCTTGTACGGAACTATGTCAAAAGCCGTCTTGTGTGTGTGTGTGTGTGTGTGTGTGCGTGTGTGTGTGTATGTGTGTGTGTGTGTGTGTGTGTGTGTGTGTGTGTGTGTGTGTGTATGTGTGTACTCACCTATTTGTACTCACCTATTTGTGGTTGCAGGGGTCGAGTCCTAGCTCCTGGCCCCGCCTCTTCACCGGTTGCTACTAGGCCCTCTCTCTCCCCGCTCCATGAGCTTTATCAAACCTCGTCTTAAAACTGTGTATGGTTCCTGCCTCCACTACGTCATTTTCTAGGCTATTCCACTGCCTTACAACTCTATGACTGAAGAAATACTTCCTACTATCTCTCTGACTCATTTGTGTCTTCAACTTCCAATTGTGGCCTCTTGTTTCTGTGTCCCCTCCCTGGAAACATCCTGTCTTTGTCCACCTTGTCTATTCCACGCAGTATTTTACATGTCGTTATCATGTTTCCCCCTGAACCCTCCTGTCCTCCAGTGTCGTCAGGCCGATTTCCCTTAATCTTTCTTCATAGGACATTCCCCTTAGCTCTGGAACTAACCTTGTCGCAAACCTTTGTACTTTAGTTTCTTGACGTGCTTTATCAAGTGCGGGTTCCAAACAGGTGCTGCATACTCCAGTATGGGCCTGACATACACGGTGTACAGTGTCTTGAATGATTCCTTACTAAGGTATCGGAATGCTGTTCTCAGGTTTGCCAGGCGCCCATATGCTGCAGCAGTTATCTGATTGATGTGTGCTTCCGGAGACATGCTCGGTGTTATACTCACCCCAAGATCTTTCTCCTTGAGTGAGGTTTGCAGTCTTTGGCCACCTAGCCTATACTCTGTCTGTGGTCTTCTGTGCCCTTCCCCTATCTTCATGACTTTGCATTTGGCAGGATTAAATTCGAGAAGCCATTTGCTGGACCAGGTGTCAGTCTGTCCAGGTCTCTTTGAAGTCCTGCCTGGTCCTCATCAGATTTAATTCTCCTCATTAACTTCACATCATCTGCAAACAGGGACACTTCTGAGTCTAACCCTTCCGTCATGTCGTTCACATATACCAAAAATAGCACTGGTCCTAGGACCGACCCCTGTGGGACCCCCGCTCGTCACAGGTGCCCACTGTGATACATCATTACGTACCATGACTCGTTGTTGCCTCCCTGTCAGGTATTCTCTGATCCATTGCAGTGCCCTTCCTGTTTTATGCGCCTGATGCTCTAGCTTTGCACTAATCTCCCTTTTGAGGAACTGTGTCAAAAGGGCCCTTTTTTGCAGTCCAAGAAGATGCAATCAACCCACCCCTCTCTCTCGTGTCTTACTTTGTTATTTTTATCATAAAACCCAGAAGGTTTGTGACACAGGATTTGCCTTCGTGAATCCGGTGGTTGGCATTTATATTTGTTCCGTTCCAGGTGCT